CTAGTGGAAGGTGTCCCTGCTGATGGCAGGGGGGTTGGAACTGGATGATCTTTAAGGTCCCTTCCAACCCTAACCATTCTATGATTCTATGATAAACCATACCATGTATTGTAGTTAAGAAGAAAAATACAACAAATAATAATTTCACAGGGGAATTTGTAGCATTAAGAGTTTTGGCAGAATGTGCATCCTGCTCCCTAGCTGAGAATTTCTTTTTGGTCTTATAACATTGTCAAATCAGATATTTTCTATTTTCACATCTTATACTTTCTCCTACTGACAGTCTACTAGTTTAAACAAAAGAGGTTCTGCTCTTAAATTAAGGATTCCTAGACAAACCAGCAATCACATAAGAGTAAAAACCAAAGACTCCACTTTTATTTTAATCTTTCTTCTATTTAAACAATAAAAACTCCTAAGTCAAAACGGTTAACTTATTTTTAGAAAACTTATGTTTTTAGGTCTCAGGACCTGTGCAGGAATTTATGCTGGTTACAAGTTCTTTCACGTAAAATGTAAATTGGACACAGGCTTTGCTTCCAGGTGAAGTTAGTTGTTTTCTTTCTGAAGCATTGACATAACTGCAAGGAAATGCAAGTCTCTGTCGTTTATAGACATTAGACTCAGCTTGCTATTCCTCCAAGCTTTCACTCGCGTCTTTCAGCCTTTACCTTTCCAGCTCCATATAGGTTGCCTCTTTCTTTTCCATCTCTGGAAATAGTTGTCTTTGTACTTGTAGCACTCCTTTCCCAATTTTGTTTCCATCCTTTTTTTCAGTCACATTTTATGAATCATCACAGGTGGATTGCCACAGAACTTCAGATAATTAATTTCCTTACACAGTACAAAAAAGGATCCCTGCAAATTAAATACGTATTGGCCTATCCCCAGATCCTGAATGGAAAGGAAAGTGGCACTCTTACTGTATTTCCTTTTGTCTCCTTTCCTTTCTAGTGAGCAATTTCCGTTTTCAGACTAAGTTTCCAAGACAATTGTGTGAAGGCTTACAAGAAGTATTTATTTAATAGCACATTAATTATGGAAAGGTGAGGGAGAGACACAAGAGGATGGTGTTAATCTAGCTCTCTAAAGATGACAAGGAATAGAAATACGAAAGTATACCACCCAAAGAAGTGTTAAAATGTCCTACAGTTATTGCTATTGACACCTGTAGTTCTGAAACAAGAATTAAAAAAGCCATTACTTACCATACTGTTCCAGCCTGAAGGGCAGATGCAAACGTCAGTGCTTTGTCAATGTCTTTGGTAAAAACTGCTGCTGCTAAACCATAGGTAGTATTATTTGCTCTCCTGATAACCTCATCTACAGTTTTAAACTTCATGATTTGTTGAACAGGTCCAAATATCTGTTTCAGACACATGTAAACATATGAAATGGACTGGTATACCTTACTATTGTAAATAATTTATGTCTTAAAGTTGTTTGGTTTTTTGTTTTTGTTTTTTTTTCCTGTCAGATAGACTTATTTCCAAATTCATTCAGTCAAGAGTGTTCATCTCAGAACAGATTTCTAAAAAGGATTATAAATTCACATAAAGATAAGATTTTCATAATATGGAGCAAAGCAGGACAGCCTGTAGTAAAATGAATAATAAAACAATAAATAAATAAATAAAATTATAAATTATGAGGGGGGAAGAAAGAAAGAAGAAAAGATATCCAGCATAAAGATAGTTAACATGGAGTCACAGTATGTTACATATCTATACTGGTTACAAATGAATCAGTATTTTCTTGGTAAGCTTCAATTTTACAGTTGTGAAAGACATTCAACTTTTCCTTCCCCTAAACTTTATATTAGGCTTTTATCTCTGCAGGTAGCTGCACAACTGGGCATGTATGCTAGGTCAAACAATTATTTCTGCTTTCCATATGAATGGTATGTGACATAACAGTCCCTCATGCTGGCTTTCCCACTAGCGTTGTTCTGTGTTCTCAGTCAGGGATGTCCATGCCCATGCTCATCACACAGTGCCAAGGCTGTGTAGGGCAGGGGGCACTACTGCATCTAATTACTTCCATTCCTATAGATCATGAGCTTTCAACTTGATTTTCTTGGAAAGTGTTTAGTGCCAGTTTCTAACTTAACTGTAGTTGCAGGGATTGATTTGCATAGATCAGAAAACCACTGAATGTTCCCCACTGTTCAAGCTGTGAGTTTCAGAATCTGGATATTCTTCAGATTGCCTTGGCTCTCTGGGGTTTCATTATTCAATACACTCAAAATAGTCTGAAAGAAGCAGTACTTGTACTGATGACCCAAAGGAAACGGATTTTTGAAGAAAAGTACCTCTGTGTAGTTTCCTACCTGCCTCTCAGACAGGCAGAAACGATCCAAATTATTTCTCATACAACTCTGTCCTGTTTTACAGCCCTTTCCTCTTCAGAATTAAATCTACATGCTCTGGCGTTCATTTTAACTCAGCCTATCGATACCTGCTGAATGTACTAGGTACGTTCAGCAGACTGCAACAGTTGTACCTTTGGCTATACAAAACAACGTCTAGATTTGCAACAATTCTGAAGGAGCTTCCTTGTACGAAGAAGTATAATGGACACCAATTGTAACACAATTACAATAGTTATTAATTAAGATGAATGTAAACAAAACCAAAACCAAAACCAAAACCAAACCAAACCCAAACCCACAAAGAAGAGGTCATTTTGGACTCTGAGGCTGTGTTTATAGGACTGCCCTGGCACTGCCACTTAGTTGGTTCAGTAAAAACTCCTTCAACATTTTATAGGCATTTCTGCAAACTGATTCAGGTTAAATAACCCTGCAGAGACAAAATTCTACTTTGCTGTAACTGCCACCAACACTGTCTGTGGAAGTCCAGTCTAACAATTTTCTCTTATTGCAAAATAGCTGCTTGATGCTTTTTCTGTCCAAATCTCAAATTAACTCGCTCCTTAGCAGTGCAGAGTTCACAATCTGTGCCTTCAAGGTTTGTTTCTCTGTTACAGGTTACTGTGATTCTGATATATGAGACCTGGGCAGATGGGGTGATATAAACAATCCAACTTCCAGCTTAAGCTGGAGCCTTCATCAGCAAGCCAGTCTCATACTCCTCTCCCTCACCTTCACTGAGTTGGTGGAACAGGCATCAGAAACCAAGAAAAATGTTTTCAACACCACCAGGATAGAACGACAGATTTACTGAGGGTATTTTTATGTAGCCACTTGACCTTCTAAATGGATGTTTTGCACAGACATTTAAACAGACAATCTCCAGTGAGAGTACAGACTGCCAAGAATTTATTTACCTCTTCTTTGGCGATGCGCATATTATCTGTAACATTAGAAAAAACTGTGGGCTGGATGAAGTAACCCTTTTCTCCCCATGGACCTCCTCCACATTCCAGTTTGGCTCCTTCTTTTTTCCCACTTTCAATTAGGTCCAGGATTTTTTTAAACTGCTCTTTATCAATCTAAATTAAAAGATATTACAGGGATGAAAACAGCACACACTGATAACAATTATTCTTCTAACTCATTAACCAAAACCTAATAGTGTTCCAGCTTTGTTCAAATGTTCAGTTGTATGTGTTGAAGTGGAACAGCTGGAGAGCACTGCAAGTATTCTTGTCACTAACTTCTCAAAACTTTACAGGCTTTTCTCAAATGGACTAGTAATCAGAAATTTTTACATAGAGGAATTGTCTATAGAGGGAGAGATATCCCATTTTTCCTTAGTAAAAAAAGAAAAAAAAACCCCTATAAATAAATGTCTTTTATACTTCTCCCAGTATTCTTACAAAATGCAAAAGGTTCATGAAAATAAAAATTACTGAACTTGATTCTGCAAAAATAGCAAAGGGCTTGGTCTAGCCAGCAGGACTCTTCTGTACTTCACTAGGTCTGATCAATTTGCCATACTGTTTTTCTAATCTGTTAAAGTTAAAAGAAACAATAAAATATAACGGAAACTCAATGTTGTGTTTAGTTCATTCTGATTTGTAAGTAGAATAAAGGCACCTACATTTGTAGTTTGAGAAACATAGGTGGCAAGTTGTTTACAGTATGAAGGCAATCTCTGCACCTCCACTTGCCCAAGCCTACAGAAAAATTCAACATATGCCAAGCATATTGCAGTTTGGCTCTATAGTACAGCAAAATGCATGGTCTTTGACTGGAAAAGGAGTTTATGGTGGCAGTGCAATAGGAGCTTACAGTTCTCTAATTCCTTCCCGTTTTCAGTCACAACGTGGATGAAAGGAAACAGTGTAAATGGAGACTAGAAACAGATCATACATCTTTCCTCTCCTTCCATCTCCAAAGCAATTAATTGCTACTGAAGGAAAATTGTGCACAAGATAACATTTATGTTAAGAAATATTCAGTGGTAAAGATTGTTTGGTAGGGACCTTTGACAATCTCTTAAAAAAAAAAGTTCAGCCCTTCAAGTCCTGGCTCATGCAGATACTGAGATTACTTTTTGGGTGACTGTTGCATGGAAGCTTCTCCTCTCTGATCATACCCATCAGTCAGCAGAGTAAGTGTGTATCTTATTCTCTTGTTCATGCAATAAATTTTGCATTTCAGTTTATGCAACAAGTATTACCATAGTCATGGAACCCAACAATATTTTCAAAGGTTCTGGGGAATCTTGGGTACCTATTAGACTAAACAGCTATTCAACTAAAGCTGTGATAAAAGCTTATGTTTATAAGGATATGGATTTATAAGGGTATTTATAAGGAGGTGATTTTAGTTCGCTGAACTCCCCTCGTCATTTTGCTTTCAAACAATTGCCTTACTGCATTCTGAAGACATAAAATTTCTGTAACTCTGGTGGCCAAATATCTCTTGTGCATAAACATTTTGAAGAGAAGTTGAGGTTTAGATGATACAGCTCATGTTGCTGTCTTTTTTTAATATTATAATAATTATTTATCTTAATAATGTGTGAATTAGCAAATATATGATCTTTTGCATTCCACTAGGGTCTTTGACTCCTCTTTGGTGCTCACTCTACAAAGCATTACCCAAACTTGTTGCCTGAGGCAGGTGCTACCCCAGAGGGCCTATGAACTGGAGGACAAACATGGCTTTTAAGGAGTCTCTATGGCAAGAGAACACTGAATGTGCCTAATACAGTCTATAATTTGTTGTTTCCAGAAATAAGTAACCAAAGCACAACAAGGAATTTGAAGATAAATAGAGATATTTAACATAATTACCACAAAAGAAATGCACCTAAACCAAATGGTTACAGTTTTCTATTACAAGGGATCATAAGAGTTACAAAAGGAGAAACTTTGCTGACTTGTGAAACAGTTAAGATTTCTGCTAAATCTTACTAAGAAGAAAAAGAGGTCAAGAAATGCAAATGATGAGACTAGAGGAGAAAAGAGTCCTCGTGGTCTTTCAAATGTTTTCGGTAATGCTTTTTTGTATGTTCAAACTTCCTATTTTTTAGTAAAAATTTACTTTCATTTCTAATTTAAATTGTTAGCATGAATTTCAGACGCAGTAAGGCCACAATAACATGTGAGTGGATTCCTGTTAGTTTGGTATGAGCTCTACACCTCATACCAAACTGGACAGACACCTGGAGTTTACTTGTTTCAGTCTTCCTGTTCTCTGGCATTTACATTTATTTAGCTGAACATATTAGCTTGTTAGCAAGACACGTTACAGGATATCAAAATAGTATCCTTACTGTCTTTAAATTCTCCAAAGCTTTTATGGCTTGGAATTCAGTTTTCCAATTTACTTGGTGTCTTTTACTATATACAATGAGCGTGACAAACAATGAAGAAAATGTTACATTATCAAATGTGTGGGAATTGCTTTGTCTCCAGTTTTGCTTTGTCTCTAATACAGTTCCATTATTCTGTGACAATCAAATACGTGCATAATAGCTCTACCAAGATATCCTGTAGCACAAGGTGATATGGAAATAGATCTCTAGGTGAAAACTAATTTAACAATGCTCTACTATGATCCACTGAACCCACAGCATTGTTATAGCAATGTTTTTTAAAATTGCATTTTAGCTTTTATTTAATGGTAAAGCTGTTGGCATAATCTTTTAACTTAAGCAGGAAAAAGTACAAAATTACACATTTTAACTATGCAATATGCTAAAAATGAAAGCAGCATAATGAAACATTAACACCTTGAAAAAGGGGAAAAGGTACTATTAAGTTTTATTTCCTCAAAATTCTCTTATGGTGGCACTATTTGAATATAATGTTAGCAATCTCTGACATAGGTGATCGTACTTGCATTTTTATAGATATTGCGTTGAAGCTTTCTCAAAGCATTTCAGTTTTATATAATTCTTCCCATCCCATAACAAAAAAGAACCAGAACAGAGAAAAAAAAATCACCCTTAAGCCTATAATAGTGACACAAATAACCACCACTCCAGTTTCTTCTTCCTGGTCCTCCAGACTAACCACTATACAACTGTATTTAAGCTTAACACTAACGCAGCAATGGGTTTAGGAGTACATTAAACTGTGATGTTGTGTCACAGTTATATTGGAAACAAAAAACATTACTTACCTGAGGGCCTTGCTGTACACCAGGCAATAGAGGATTCCCAAGAGTATACTTCTTTGCTCGTTCAATGCTCCGTCTAACAAACTCATCATAAATAGGCTCTTCTACAAAAATCCTAGATCCTGCTATACAACACTGTCCCTGGTGGTAGAACAGACCAATATGTGCAAATTCCACAGCAGTGTCCACTGCAAAGAAATGCAGAGTTCCTCAGGTCATAAGCTTGAATGGTAATGTCATAAAATATTTACAAACCCTTGTCAGTCCATCTCATTTCCCTTTTTAGTACTTTTTATTTTTATGGCCCTTTAAAACTCAGATATTAATCCATTTACTTACGTCCAAAGCTACTCTTCACAGAATCACAGAATGGTAGGGATTGGAAGGGACCTCGAAATTCATCTAGTCCAATCCCCCTGCCGGAGCAGGAACCTAAATGAGATCACATAAAAAGGCATCCAGGCGGGTTTTGAATGTCTCCAGAGAAGGAGACTCCACAACCTCCCTGGGCAGCCTGTCCCAGTGCTCCGTCACCCTCACTGTAAAGAAGTTTCTTCTCAATTTTAAGCGGAACCTCCTGTGTTCCAGCTCACACCCATTGCCCCTTGTCCTACCATTGGACATCACTGAGAAGAGCCTGGCTCCTTCCTCCTGACATTCATCCTTAACATATTTATAAATATTAATAAGGTCGCCCCTCAGTCTCTTCTTCTCCAAGCTAAGGAGACCCAGTTCCCTCGGCCTTTTCTCATAAGGGGGATAGCTCCATTCCCTTAATCATCTTATCAAGAACAGCATGACAAATGCACATTCAGCTGTTCTATGTGAAATGTAGTTTCAACATTATTTGCCTTATCAGCAGTACCAGGAGAAATATTCAGCTAGAAAGTTAATAAACCTGTATAAGATCCAACTAGCTGCTTTTGGTTCTGCATTCATGTTGTGTTAGGATGATCCTTAATTACAGTAAGGGTGGACATGTTGTCAGAGGTTCATATCCATTTAGGAGCCATCAATTTTTGGTGACAATCTAACTTAAAAATATGGTGTGACTAGAAAACATTAAAAATTACTCCTTCACTAAACAAGTACAAATAATTTGCTGACAAAGGAAAGAAAAAGAACATGTGACTTGCAAAAGCACAAGGTTTATATAATAAAAATGCTACTAACAGTCTGCATCTGCAAATATAATGTTAGGACTTTTTCCTCCAAGTTCCAATGTAACTCTCTTCAGATTGCTCTTCCCTGCTGCTTCTTTAATCAGTTTGCCAACCTAAAATGTAGGGAAAAGACAGCTTAATCTCAAAAAGTTTATTATGACCACACTGACACTTCTCTGAGTTCTTCAGAAGTGAAAATCAGTTCACAGTTGTCTACTGTCCCAGTAAATGTAGAAATTAAAAATAAATAATAATTTAAAAAAAAGAAACAAAACCAAAAATTGGAAATGAGAGTCTGGGTGCAGGTGACGTGCCATCTACAAACCAAGAATGCTTTCTAGAATAGTTTCGCCCTGGACATACTCATGTTAACTGCCAAGGATGTCTGATGCTTTTTTGGTTGCCACCACTCTATTTGTTTTTATCTGTAATCTAAAGTAGGCACTGATTTCTACTCTGCCAGTTACTCCCATCAGGTTGAAGTTCCTCTGTTTTGTACATGGGAAAGTACTTTGATGCACAAAGTATATGAGAGAAAAGGTAGATATCTACACTGTAAGGAAGAAGAGGAAATGGACACTGCGAGGCAGAACCTCTACCTTGCTACTTTCCATTGCTGGCATAATTAAAGGAACTACTTAATATTAATTGTCCTGGAAAAATTGTGAAGGAAAAAGGTGTTTGTAGCCTTTGTGGCTGTAACTGTCCATGTGTAGCAACCATCAGATAGCTTCCTTCCTCTGTCAGCTTTCCTGCCTTTATTTCTTGCTGATAAATTGCACTATCAGAGGAAGGGTACTGTCATCAAACTCTATGAATACATCCTCTGGTCCACCTGCCTTTGGAGGGACATTGGACAGTGGTAATTGTAGTTGTCACTGTCCATTGGGAACATCTGTGGGATATTTCACAGATGTTGAGTTTTTGGGTTGTTTTTCTTTCCCATTACTTTAGAACTAAAAGTTTCTAAGAGTAAACATAGCTCTTGCATTTAGTGTGTACTGATCCTTGATATAAAGCAATCACTTTTATCTTTGGAGTGTGCATCCAAGAAGTTAAGAGACCAGTTGGCAGCTCTTCCATGTAGCTTGCATACAGACAGATAATATAATGTACTCTGTTAAGGATACAGTTATATAATGCCTGTACTTATAAATCTTTGATCATATCACTCACAGTTCTTCAGAGTTAATGTTAGGGAAACTTAACAGTGACCTTTCTTTCAATTATTAAACTGATACAACTTCAAATACACTTCTAAGACCACCCAGATGATCATCAGTATAACTCAAATACCAAAAAGCCATCACCTCACTTAAGTGTGTGCAGAACCAGGAATGAGATTTCTGAATTACCTTCCTACCATTCTGTTGCTATTAAAATTAATGAGAACAGAGCATAGCAGGTTTTACTTTTTGCATTTTTTGAAATAATTATTCTTAAAAAAAAGAAGAAAACAAAAAGTTATGAGCATGTTTTCTTTTTAAATTAGAAGATTTTAAATACCCCTAGTATACTAGAACCTATTGTATCTCATGGAGTGCCTTTTTTGAAGGGCTTTCCTGCAATACAAACATTGTTTAAATATGTTTAAAGTTAATACTAACCAACAAATCATTAAACAGACTTTTTTTAATGAACCAACAGCCAAAAGAAAGAAAAAAGTTAAAATAGTTACATAGAACAAGTTAGACATTAAACCATTACTGGGAATCAGAGGGGCACAGTTCCTGCTTATATTTTCTTGCATTCATTATAGTACCTCTGTAGAGCCTGTGAAAGCTACTTTATCTATATCCATGTGGTGAGAAATTGCTGCTCCAGCGGTGGGTCCAAATCCTGGCACAATGTTGACAACTCCAGGTGGAAATCCTGCCTGAATTGGAAGAGAGAACCCTGTAAATCTGGGGAAGGAGACTAGAAGAATATGTCTTATATAGCCTTACTCCCCTTTTCAGGTCTCTAGTCACCTTTTCTCAGTTATACAGTTATTCTCATCCCTGGAGCCCCAATTCTGTTAATTCTTACATGATTTATGCCCTCTTTCCCTCACCTGTTTTTTAGGCTATTGGACTGTCTCTCTTCTTTTTTTAAAAAAAGAACATTTAATTTTTGTTCTTTTTCAGTGTCACTGGTAAGGAATAAATTTATTTTTTCTTTTCTCCCCTCATCAGGTGTGTAAAGAGACAGATTTCATGTCTGCTTTGTTAAAGCTATTTGAATCATCCTGTGTGCTTGCTGACTTCTGCTTATTATCTCTCATGCTAGATGGAATTTAAGTAATGCTGACTTACACTGAAATTCTATTAAGAAAAATAATAGAAATAGTACTTCAAACTCAACATCTTCACTTCTTCCTCTGGACATCAGTTGAAAGTACAGAGTGTGCAACATGAGAGTTTATGGCATGAAAGAGGCAAATCAGATGCTAAGCATGAAAAAACTGGCTACCTGAGATATGCACAGTTCCAGTATCTTGCAAATTTTCTGTCTAAAGAGGCTTTTCCTCTGGGTCAAATCAGACCTAGTTTTCCACCAATTCTATATTAGTTATGTTCCACTTATAGACAAAACAAATTATTTTCTTTCAACAGCTTGTCAGGCAAACTTCCTTACAGGTTCATGCTCAGATGTATTCTGTCAATGAACTTAATGCTCATTTAAAATTCCAGATTAATATTTACCCTGGAACTGATGAGATAATCAGGTTACTTCCATTTGTTTAGCATTGTGTTTCATACTTAATTTGCAGATGAAAGTAAGAAGAATATTTTTATGGGACTAATTCACACTGTGTTACCTTGGGCATTTAATTTCCATGTCTATATTAGAAGCTATTCTCTACATATTAGCAAAGGAGCCTTGTGAGGACTATCAAGAAGGACAAGAAGGATTCAAGAAGGACAAGAAGGATAGTGAGGATTACCAAAAGTGACCAAAAGTGGCTTTTTTTTTTTTTTTTTTTTTTAATGTGGATGCTTGGCAAGTAGAAAGTTAAATTAGATCTTCAGATAGTTTCACAAGTCTAAAGCAGCTACTGAAGTGATGACTGAGGTTTTGATCACTATCAGGGATTTGGGCTCTGACTTTGTTTGGATATTCCAGGTATAAATTAGAACTCAGCTAGATTGGGGTGAACAAATCTTGAAGGTCTTGATAAGATAAATATTTTTTTTTAAAGCTTCACAATATCTACCAGATAATACACCAAAGACGTTTAGGAATTACATACAAGTTTCTCTTCCAGTTGAACGCTGAATGAATGGGCAAAATGAGAATCATCCTGCCTTTCACTAAAAATGCTGTGGTGCTATATCAGTCATTACCACTCTGTAACTATTGTAAACATGCACACCAAATGGACCACGGATCACATTCCCACTTATGAGCACTCCTTTCAAGAAATCAGAATATCAGAACAGACATTTCATTAGACTTGGAGCAGGACTGAGTTACTTTCCCTTTTACTTCTTCAGAGAAATGTACTTTCTGACACTTATTGTTAAAAATTAATACAAAAGGTATCTCTGATTTTTTTTTTTAAAGCAATTCCTCCTTCCCAGTATCATCTAGTAACATTCACTATGTGATGCAATAACAGCAGGACTTAGCTCTTTCCTGATAGTAAATCAGTTTCTGTGAAAAATTAACGCATAACCAGTATGTCAGTATGCTCTGCTGAATCATTGTTTTGAAGCAGAATAATAAAATGTGCCAAGTCATTTCCATTAACATTCTGCAAGGTTACTGTGCTGGTGACTATTGATATCTGTGCCAATTCTTCAAACATATTAGATTACATAAGTTGATTTTAGTTGATTAGATGATCTCCAGAGGTCCCTTCCAACCCCTACCATTCTGTGATTTTATTGGGAAGCACAATAGCTAAACTATTTAATTGTTCTTCTTTGGGTGTGTGCTGTTTCTGGGCACAATAGTCAACATAACTTTGGAGACACTGGAGAAACTACCACACTCCTTGTGTTCAAGAGCACAAAATGTATTCTCCCAGTTTCCATGTGAAGAGAGTTCATAAGTTTGGCAGCGGTCACTGGTTCAATTTTACAGCTCCCTGTTAATGATAAACCCAGGTGGATGAAAGTTTGTTCAATTAAAAAATAAAAATTGGCTGTACATACAGGTCCTTTTCTGTGATAACTATGTTAATAAAGTAATTGCTACCCAACTCTAAGTACTCTGCTCTTAACTCCCTGTTTGCTTTTGCCTTTGAAAGGTACTGTGCTTTCGTAATACAAATATGTTTGCCAAGGAATGAAGTTTACTAAATTGCCATTATGGGTTTTTTTGATGTGTGTGGACTAGGCTGAAAAATATGCATGCTTTTGTCCTGGATTTGCTTCACTGATTTACAGTAAAGTAAGTTCCATAGTACAAGGCTAGACATGCTATAAGAAGTACTTGCAGAGGACAGCCTCTATGGCACTTCAGCTGCAGTATACTCTTAGGTTACTGAGAAGGGCAAGAAACTCTGCTGTTGCCAACTTACCTCTTTAATTAAAGATCCCATGTAAAGGGCAGTCAGTGGAGTTTGTTCTGCTGGTTTGATGACCACCGTGTTTCCACAACAAAGAGCAACGGCGATCTTCCACATGAACATAAGCAAAGGGAAGTTCCACTGAAAGACAGTTGAGAAGGTGTATCTTATTTCTAATACATGACCAAAATGCCTTTGTTTTTTCTATGATAATAGTGCAAATTGTCAACTGGGTGGTTGAATTCTTTGTCGAACTCTTTTCAGAATGAAGATATTTTGAAAAAGCAACTGGGCAAGATGTGTTGTACAAAGACTAGTGATTTTAGAGTATGTGAGTCCAGGGTATCCAAGGCTTTAGTTAAAAGCTCAAGAGACAATAAGTGTACTCTTCTAACAAAGGCTTACAGAAAGTTGCTGGATTAGTGATGAAATCAGGACTTTTGCTATCTTAAATGGTCACATCCATCATCCATTCAGTTTTTTAAGGGAGACGAAAATAATATGTAATGTTGCCCTTGCCTTCTTCCCTGGAGGTTTCACTGACAGCTTTCTGTTGTGGTCAGTCCAGCCAGACTGCAGAGCAGCTCACTCCTTTGGACCCCATATTCAGCAGTATGAGGGACAATGTGGCTGGTGAAAAACGGATTGCTGCTTTGAGAATATTTCTGATAGTTCTGGAAGCATTGAGCCCATGAACTTCAGCACAAAAGATATAGTTAACCTTACCTTTATGAAAGTGTGGAAAAAGACAGTTAACAGTTACCTATTAAGTGAAAAAGACTTGAAGGAGTATAAATGCAACTGTTCTTTATCTCTCTCCTTATCTCACCCCACCCCCAAAAAATAACAGGAGCACAAGTAACACAAGGGTTTACAGGGTTTTCTGGACCTTCACCATTAAAGTGGAACTGTGTGAGCAGAAGGGAAATGTAAATGCTGATCTAGCAAAAGTGTTTTGCAGCATTCACATAGTCCTCAATTTTTATGGTGTTTGAAAAAACCTCTGACTTGGTGGATTCACTTTCAATGGAGAGAAAATAAAGATATATTCAGAAGTCCTTGAACATTTTATAAAGGAAGACAGTGTTTATACTAACACTTAACACTTCCAGGATGCAATTTTATTTAAAGTTGTCGCATCTAGTGTGTATAATTCTTCAGCATATCTTGACTCCCAGATGTCTGAGTAAACCTGATAGACAAGCTGACTACTTCAGAATCTGGTAAACTGTTGAGCAGGTCAGGTCAGGCTGCCCACACATATCATGTGCAAAAAGGTGGGTGGATTAGGAGTGTCTAGTGCATATAATCATTTTCACAGCAAGCCATTGAAGCTGTGTAGACCTCAGAAGTAAGTTTAAAAGTTGAATTCTTCAATGTTTTGGATATTCAGATTCAGGCAGGCTTTTTGAATCTTCACTTATATTAAGCAACTTCAAAACTGGAATTTAGAGGCTCCAAACAGGAGCCTGGGAAAGTATGGCTCACTATTACTGTGCTTATTGGACATATTATTTATGTTGTTACTTGTACCATCAACACGGAGAATGAGTCTTAGTCATAAATAAAGACCCAGCTGTCTGGATGCTGTACAGAGAAAAACAGATATTTCAGGTTCTAAAGAGCTTATTGCTTATAGGCTGTAAATACTACCCTCCTCTACATGTTTATTTCAAATTCTTTCAGTTCCAACAAAACACAATGCTGTATTTCGAACTAATCCATCATTCAAGCTTGAGATTTCTTTTCCCTCCATATACAGGGAGGAGAGACACAAGACTGAACCAGACTGACTCACCAAAAATTGCATTTGATGAATACTCAGGATAGTCCCTATCTTTCAGGACCTGAAAATTTCTGATTGGTAAGGTTTCACAAATGTGCTTGCATAGACAAAATTTCAAAAACATTTTCATCTGTAACAGGAACATTTGTGTTTCACATAACTGGCTCCAACTTACAGGAATAATTTGGCCACACACACCAATAGGCTCATGTCTTGTAAATGTAAAAAAGTTTCCATCTAAGGGAAGAAGAAATAAATTAGACATTCAGACAAAGCATTTGTGAGAAACAGTTAAATCAGAAAGAAGATAAAGTTGGATACCAAACTTAGCTGCATATAATTTTACTTATAAATGGTATATTCAAACCTTAGCTATGCAAAAAATCAACCATAAAGTACATCTGTATTTAATATTTACTTTCTTCATAACTCCAAGGTTTGATTCTGACTGACTGACTTTTTGCAGTGATAGCTCTGCGTCTCAATATGGTATGCACAACACACTAACTAACAAACATTCCTTATTTTTTTTTTTTTTTTTTTTTTTTTTTTTTTTTTTTTGGAAAACGCTTTTTTAAAGGCTACTTGCAATCCTAGGTACATATCAGACATTTTTTAGTATTAGATCTTAGCTTAAATCAAATCCATTAAGTATAAAATTCTCTTTGATTCAAATAAACATGTGTTCCATTAAGCCTAGTGTAGAGATCTGTGTCATGCAAAAAAGTTGGAAGTATTTATCACTCGAGTTTTCCTTAATTCCTTCTTTATTACCATTCTCTTCTTTGTCCTTCTGAGAGAAGGCAGCTAGAAACAATGTTACAGAGCTGTCTAATGGGAGAGGGAATGGAAGGAAATTTCAGCAAAATAATGTTTCCTCATTCCTCTCTCTTAGTGCTCTTCCTAATATTATCCAATAAGTGAAACAAATGTTACTGTTTGTGTTAATCTTAGCTTTAATAAACAACACCTGGTTTTCATTACTCTACCATTGCATAAACTATATTGCTATGCAAAAGCAGCCTACCAGACTTCTTAGATATAGATACAGGCTGAAATATTTTGGTCAATAAACAGTACTTATTGGTGGTGTATAGGACAAGAACTAAATGTCAATAACTGCCCTATATGTCTAAAAGGAGCACTATGATAGATCTTAAATAACCTACCTAAGAACTATCAAAAATATTTTCCATTTGAGATATTTTCTGTATTGCATAACTCAGAAAAAAAAACGTCTTTTTACAGATCACACTGGCTTCAGTTCTGTACTTCTGTTATCTCAAAACTACTCACCCATAGGAACAGTACGCCCATGGATTTTATCAGCCCAGCCTGCACAGTAGCGTAACGTTTTGATACAAGCATCTAAATCCATTAGGTAGGCATGGGAAAAGAGTTTCCCACCATCAATGCTTTCCATTGTCTGCAGACAACAGAAATTACAAAGTTAGTATCAAATACTGATAATGGTTCTCATGCTTTTACTTTGTCATTTAGCTTTTAATTTTTCAGTTCAGAGGTTTTCAGCTGCAGAACAAACATTTAGATTAATTTCACTCTGAAGGATACCTAGCATTTGAAAAACCCAAGGTAGCAATTTACAAATGAGAAGTTTTCATGATGGTTTAATCACACTGATCTATTCAGAAAACATGATCATGGCACATTTGTAATGGTAAGATGTTCTGAAAAAATCAGTAACGTTTCTCCCATCTGAATTAGTTACACGGTTCTAGTTTATACTGAATATTCCACAAGTGTAGATGAAAAGATCAGCTAGCAGTCTGCACAAATAACTGATGCAAATAAAATGAGCGGCCTCCCTCAGTCTGTTTGCTCTAACACCCAAGGTAGAAAATAGTTTCATAGAAAGAACTGTCACATTAACTTAGGATCCTGTGCATTTTAAATACTAAGGATCATCTTTCTAGGTGTTTAATAAATGCATGATTAGCAACTTATATGAACAAGAAAACTCAAAGCATGGAAGGATTGGAGGAAGGCAAATGTCACTCTAGT